AGCTACCATGTGGGTGCTGGGATTTGAACACAGGTCCTCTGCAAGAGCAGCCAGTGCTCTCAACCACTGAGTCATTTCTCCAGCCCCACTAAGACGACTTTTTAAAAAATATTTTATTTATTATTTTTATTTTATGTGTACAAGTGTATTGCCTGAATGTATATGAGAGCACCTGTGTCGTGCAATGCCTGTAGAGGCTAGAAGAGGGCTCCCTTCTAGCCCTCTCAGTCCCCTGGAACTGGAGTTACAAATGGTTGTTAGCTGCCATGTGGTGACTGGGAATTGAACCTGGGTCCTCTGAAAAAGCAGTCAGTGCTCTTAACCACTGAGCCATCTCTCCAGCCCCACCCACTAAGAAGACTTTTGACTGTGGTTGGCAAACTTACTCTGGGTTTGGCTTTGCAATTGATTCTTTTTTATTTGCCCCTTTTCTTCTTTTTTCCTTAAGACAGGGTCTCACTGTGTAGTCTTGACTAGCCTGGAACTCACTATGTAGACCAAACTGGCCTTGAACTCAGAGATCCACCTGTCTTTGTTTTCTGAGTGGTGAGATTAAAGTTATGTTCTATCATCTGGGTGTGGTGGCACACGCTTTTAATCCCAGCACTTGGGAGGCAGAAGCAGGTGGATCTCTGTGAATTCAAGGTCAGCCTGGTCTACATAGTGAGTTCCAGGACAGCTGGGGCTACAGGGAGACCCTGTCTCAAAAAAGACCAAAAAAAAAAGGTATGCACTACCATGCCCAGTTTTATAACTGATTGTTGAAATTACACTGAACTTTATTTTTAGGAACACAGTCCAATAAAAACAAAAGAAAAAACCTTTCTAAATAGTAATTATATATAATAATGAAATAATGGAATATTCAGAAATAATCCCAAACATGATATTGATAGAATGATTATAATTCTCTAAGCTACACTAAATAACATGCTTATAGATTATGTCAATTCTTAGGCATTTTTTGCATATATATGTGTTATGTATGCTTGTATACTTGTATCCATGCATGTGGGCACATATGTGTGAAGGACCAAGGCTGATATAGGGTGTCTTCCTCCACCTTATTCATTGAGATAGGGTCTCTCAACTGAACCCAGAGCTCACTGATATGGCGAGGCTAGCTAGGCAGATGGCTCTGGAGATTCCCTGTCTCTACTTACTGAGCGCTAGTATTACAGGCAGGCCACCTCGCTCATTCAGCATCAAAAATTAGGTTCTCGGTATCCAAAACTCTGGTCCTCACACTTGCACAGTAAGTATTTTATTCCATGAGCCATCTTCCCGGCCCTCTTCTAGACATTATTAAATGACAATATTAAAACAAAAAGGAGACCATGAGGCAGGGTATGGTGGCACACGCCTTTAATCCCAGCACTTGGGAGGCAGAAGCAGGTGGATCTCTCTGAGTTCAAGGCCAGCCTGGTCCACAGAGTAAGTTCCAGGCCAGCTGGAGCTACAGGGAGACCCTGTCTCAAAAAGACCACACACACAAAAAAAGGAGACCATGAAACAGTTTCATACAATGATTATGCCAACTATATGAGCAACTTTAAATGTGTTTTAAAGATAGGAGGATCTAGAGTAATGGCTAGATATTTTTCTAGAATTAAAGCAAGAAGATAAGAAAATATAAAACATCAGTAAATTATCAACTCAAGAATAGAAAGAGAATATCTTGGTCTTCACATTTCCCTTCAGTCATGCCTGCATGCCTTTCAAAACATCAGGTGAGAGAGGCAAAGTGTTTCGCAGGAACCTGGGGAGTAAACTGCCTCAGATGCTTTCCCAATGTGCACAGGGCAGGGTCTTACATGGCACCCTCACTAAGGACCATGAGTTCAAATGGTTACAGCTATGACTGGCTAGAACAATTTCCTCAGAAAGAGACACACACTCAAGTTAGAACTCACTTCAGCTTCTCAGGTGAGGATCTGCTTTAGCATGTGACCATCTACCTATGAACATTTTCAATCTATGCCAGATGGGGATGGAGACTGGCCAGGAACAGTTACTGTAGGCCAGGAACTTACCCCAACATCGTCATCGCTCTGCAACAGCTGAGAGTGTCCAAAGAGGCGCCTCTTCAGGATGGGCTCAACTAGCGTAAGGTACACCATGTACAGAAGTAGAAGGCCCAGAATAGAGAGATAGATTATAATGGTAACCTGGAGGATATGGAAAAGAAGTCATGTCTCAAGCCAAGAAGTGAGACGTCTGTGTGATGACAGCGTCACAATGAAGGCTGGCACAGCACAGCACACAACATTTCTATACCAGCAAGAGCCCAACATAAGAGACTAACTCTTCACCAAATTGTTATTTAAAGGAAAAGAGGTTCTGTAGGTCATCACCTACTCCTCATCACTCATCACCTTGGCTAGCACAGTTGGTTTCTTTTTCAACTGAATACAGTGTCCCAGATTCGGCAGTATGGCCGCCAAAACAACCTAAAGGAATCTGACAGAAATGTAACTCAGGGGACTCCAACAGAATACTTTTTTAGATCAATGTAGGTCTACAAAAATACTTGTTAGGCCAGTGATTTTCTTGGGATATTAATTCATATGCTAATCAAAAGTACAGCACCCACTCTAATGGCTACAACAAAACAGAAAATACCAATGGTGTGGGGAGGTTGAACCCCCGTATAGTGATGACAAAGTGGTACAACCACTACGGTAAACTATCTGGCCATCTCTTGAACAAACATAAACATCTCTTGGGAATTTTCCCAAGAGAAAAAGAAACATATATCCACACAAAGATATTCATGACAGTTTCATTCACAATATAAATCGGGGGAATAATCCAAATATTCATAAACTAAGAAACAGTCATGTAATGGAATACTATTTAGTGCGTGTGAGTGTGTGTGAGCGCGTGCTTCACCTTGATAGTGACAGAGCTTCTTTCTTCATATTTGCATTCACAGCGTAAACAGTACGCCTCTACGTCAGGCCCCCGCACAGGCATGGGCTCCACAACATGAAGGCAATCACTGAAAAAGCAAGGATAAAGTGCTGCTGAAGCCTGGCTTGCTATACTAATGTCACTGATCAAAACTTTCCTGAGGGGCCAGAGAGATGGCTCAGCAGTTAAGAGCACTGACTGCTCTCACAGAGAACCCAGATTCAGTTCTCAGCACCCACATGGCAGCTAGCAACTGTCCAATTCCCATTCCAGGGGATCCAATGCCCTCTTCTGGCCCCTGTGGGTTTGTATGCACGTAGTACACTAGCATACATTAAAAAAAAAAAAACAACAACAAAAAACCTCTTTCCTGAAACTCAGAATAAACAAAGTGAAGTCATTTCCTCTTTCAGTATTAGCATTTTGTTTTTGTTTTTTTTTTAATTCAGTGTATGGAGCTGGAGAGATGGTCCAGTGGTTAAGAGCACTTGCTACTCTTCCAGAGAACTCTGGTTTGGTTCCCAGCACCCACAAGGCAATGAACAACTATCTGTAACTCCAGTTCCAGAGTATCTGACCCCCTCTTCTGACCTCTGCAGGCATTGCACAACATGGGTGCATTTACATACATGCAGGCAATACACTCATACACATAAAATAAAAATTTTAAAAAGATTTATTGTTTGTTTTATGTGTATGTGTGTGTGCCTAAGTGTATGTATGTGCTCCATGAGCTTACAGGCAGTGTGAGCCACCATGCGAGCTGGGAACTGAACCCGAGTCCTCTAGAAGAGCAGCATGTGCTCAACCACTGAGCCATCTCCACAGGCCCATTTTAGTAATATTTAACAATCTAAGCTGTTTAAAGACACAGTAGTAGCTGTCTTTATCCAGATTGTTATTGCTAAGAGTTTCAAATGCCCTGGAAAATCCCAAATGGAGTATTAAAAAAACAAACAAACAAAAAAAAAAACAAACAACCTACCACCGGGTGTGGTGGCACACGCCTTTAATCCCAGCACTTGGGAGGCAGAGGCAGGCGGATCTCTGTGAGTTCGAGGCCAACCTGGTCTACATAGTAAGTTCCAGGACAGCTGGGGCTACAGGGAGACCCCGTCTCAAAAAGACCAAAAAAACCCACAAAAAAACACCTACCTAACAAAACAAATTCAGACATAGTTATCAAGTGAAAATGTTTTAAATGGCTTAAAGTGACATGAGACATTATTAAATATAAGGCTATCGCTTCTATGAATTAATATATTTTAAGTGGTTTCTATTTGTGCACGTGTGTGTGGGGGTGTATGTGCACCTCTGTGTGTGTGCACATGCCCATGCAGAGGCCAGAAAAAGATATTGAGTATCCTGCTCTGTCAACTCTCCCCTTATTTCCTTGAGATGGGTCTCACTGAATCTGGAGCTAGGCTGGCAGCCGGCAAGCTCCAGTAGTCCTCCTGTCTCCATTCTTACAGTGCTGGGGTTATGGTACACATGGCCACAGCTGTCTTTTCATGTAGGTGCTGAGGATTTGAACTGAGGTCCTCATGCTCGCACAGAAAACATCCTTACCCACTTAATTAACATCCCAATTAATGTAATTTTTAACTGTCATAGTGTGGCATATGAATGGCTTATCACATTTAACAGGGGTAAATTCTTTTTTAAAAAATATATTTTTAAAATTTTTTATGTGTATGAGTGTATTGCCTGCACATATGTAAGTGCACCAGTGTCATGTGATGCCCATGAAGGTCAGAGGGTGTCAGATCCCCTGGAACTGGAGTTACGAATGGTTGTTAGTCACCATGAGGGAGCTGGGAATCAAACTCAGGTCCTCTGCAAAAGCAGTCAAGTGCTCTTAACCACTGAGCCATCTTTTCAGCCCCTGGGAAATAATTACTTTCTAATGAACAAGACTACTGAAAAAAAAAAGTAGGACTATAAAAGTATTTTAAAATGAAAAATGAAGAAATATATAAAAATAAGGTACTGATGGTTTATAAAAAAAAAAAAAGCATTGCTACCAAAAATATCTTTTCTCAGAATCTGTCGGTTCTAAGAAATAAATGACTACTCTCCTCAGCTATAGCCTCTTACTCTGATCACCTTCAGCAAAAGCAGGCAAAGCAGGCAAAGCCTTCCTGTCCTCCACCAGCTGATGGGCACTCTGACTCCATTTGCAATTGTGCACATGCACACGGACATGTGTTTGTGTGTGTCTCTTCCTCATTCTCTCACTTTGTCATGCAAGTGCAGCAAGTACTTTGCCCAGGGAGCAATCTCCCCAGTCCCTTGCTTCCATTTTGGTCTGTCTTCATGAGTTGCTGCTGGCAGCCTCAAGAATCCTAGGATAGCAGCTGGTCTTATCCCAGCCATTCTTCTTGGGGGCGCTCAATGTTCTAAGTTGATTCCATCTTTGACTGACCAAAATGTACTTTTTTAAAGCTGGAAGTGGTAGCACACGCCTTTGATCTCAGCACTCAGGAGGTAGAGGCAGGTGGAGCTCTGTGAGTATGAGGTCAGTCTGGTCTACATAGAGAGTGAGTTCCAGGCTAGCCAGGGCTACATAGTGAGACCTTGTCTCAAAAAACAACCAAACCAAAACAATAAAAGGCTTGGCATGATGGAGCACAAAGGTCAGCCTGAGTTCTGGGCCAGCTGTGGCTACTAGGGAAACCCTGTCTCGAGACAGAAAGAAGGAAGGGAGAGAGGGAGAGAGGGAGAGATAGAAGGACGGAGGGAAGAAATAGTTACAGAGGCCTAAAGCAGGAGGAAGCCTGGTTCTGACAAGGCAGTCATAAACAGAGCTAGATGGAGAAATGGCTCTATTTTTAGGAAATGCCTCCCCCTAGTGCCCAAAGGAAGAAAGGATCAGTTATGAACTGTATCCCAAACACAAACCAGAGAACTACTCTAACTTTTCTTGTTTTTAATCAGACAGTACAAGTCAATGGCGAATGATGCTGACAACTAGACAAAATGAGAAATAGAAAACAGAGGTAAAGGATACTTAGTGGCTCACAGATACCTGGGGTCTCAGGAAGCTGTAACATCCTGGTGGAACATAATTTGCCTGTCTTTCCACAGCCAGTAAAAAACTTCCATTGTGCCAGGTGTGGTGGCACACGTGTACCTTTAGTCCCAACACTCAGGAGGCAGAGACAGGTGGATCTCTGTGAGTTCAAGGCCAGCCTGGCCTACATAATGGCAAGTTCTAGGCAAGCTAGGGCTATTATAAGGAGACCATGTCTGAAAAAGACCAAAAAAAAAAAAAAAAAGCCCACAAAGAATAAAGTTAGTGAAGGTATTAGTGTCAAACAATTGGAAAGTGACTCCAATAATAAACATTATTACATTCTATTATGGATAAGAAAACTGACTGGGGGCTGAAGAGATGGCTTAGTAGCTAAGAGCACTGGCTGCTCTTGCAGAGGACCCAGGTTCAATTCCCAGTCACCACATGGCAGCTAACAACCATTTATAACTTCAGTTCCAGGGGATCTGAGCCCTGTTCTAGCCTCTATAGGCATTGCACAACACAGGTGTGCTCACATACAATGTAGGCAATACACTCACACATAAAATAAAAATACTTTTTTTTTTTGGTCTTTTTGAGACAGAGTCTCCCTGTAGCCCCAGCTGTCCTGGAACTCACTATGTAGACCAGGCTGGCCTTGAACTCACAGAGATCTGCCGCCTCTGCCTCCTAAGTGCTGGGACTACAGGCGTGCACCACCACGCCCAGTTAAATAAAAAAATATTTTAAAAAAGAAAGCTGATTGTAAGTGTTCAGTAACTTTGTAAAATTTATAAATAACTTAAAAGATTTATTTGAGGGCTGGGAATACTGCTCAATGGTACACTGCTAGCCTAGCATTTAAAAGCCCTGGATTTGACACAACAACAACAACAAAAAATGAGCTTGCCTGTATCATATAAAGTAACTTGCTGGTACAAAACCCATAAAATATATATAACCCAATCACTCTGTAGTATAAAATCTTTTCAGGTGGAACACAGAGGTTCATAAAGAGATCATAAGAACACACCAGACTGAACCTAATGCATATCATGGGAGTAGTCAACAATGAATGGCCTCAGAGACACCAACTGTGCTCAAAGCCTCCTCCTTTGCAGCTGTCAGTGTGGAATGTTGTGACTGAATGAGTTGCATTTTGCTTCTAGCTTGCTGCTGACTACAGAGCTGTGAATCAGGTACATGTGAAAGTACCTATCCTTTGGTACCTATCATTGGAACATTCTCCCTTGATTCCTGCATGGCAGTCTCCCACTGTGGTTGTAAAACATCACAGTCCCACAGGAAGGAGCATGTGCATCCTGCTGTATAATGCAGTGGCTTTCAAACTGTGTCATGGCACACGTAAAAAAAGCTGCCATCTGTAAAGCCTCTGGGAAAAAAATAAGAAGGCTGGCTAGTCAGTCAGGATTCCAGTCATTACAGGCCTATCTGATTGCCTAAGGGCTAAAGGGATCACTATCTTACCATTATTTATAACCTGTTCACTCATATCAAATGAGAAATTCTGACACACATATTTCATTTGTATTCACTACTAACCCTTCTGACACTTTAAAATATATTTGACAATGTATCATCAAAACTTATAAATTGTGGCTGGAAGTAGAGGCAAGAGGATCAAGAATTTGAAACTAGCCAGGCATGCTGGTACACACCTTTAATCCTAAAAGAGGCAGGTGGATCTCTGTGTGTTTGAGGCCAGTCTGGTTCCAGGCCAGCCAGAGCTACATAGTATACAAAAAAGAAAAAAGAAATTGAAGCCTTCCTGCCTGGAGTGTATAGCAAGTTCCAGAGGCTAATTTGGGCTGCACAGGAAGACCCTGTTTCCAAAAACCAAAACCCAAACAACAAAAGCAATTCCTTCTCCCATAAGTTTTTTACTCTCTCATAAGTTGTAAAAATTATAAACTAGGGTCTCCAGGGTCTCCAGCACCCTCTTCTGGCATCCACTGACAAACTCTTCTGACATCCATGGGCACCCCCACACATGTGCATGCACATACACACACATAAATCTTTACATACTTTAAAAATTATAAGCAAGATAAAGGAGGCTTAGCTTACTTTCATTAAAAAGCAAGAGGGATTAATGTCTCAGATCAGAATTGAAGGGGTCACAAGAAAGTAGTTATGGGTTCTTTAGGTACCACAAACCCAGTCCAATTCCCATATGAAACCTTCCCAACCTAGGGCTTAACTGTTTTCCTTTAGGTTTGTATCAGGCACTCAGAGTCTTATTCTCACTGTTTCAAATAGAAAGAGAATTTGACATTTTTGCTTAAAAAGATGATATATTGTATGAATACTCTAGTCTAACAACAACCACAGAAAGACATTTGACAGGTAATTTGTTGATTCAGAGTACTTACCAGTCTTTTTGAGATATGTTCTTATTATAAATATGTCCAGGATTCTCTTTATAGGGAGGACAGATACATTTACATCTGACATCCTCAAAATTCTGTAACCAAAATAAAACAGTCTAACTTGTTTACAGTTCAGCATTAGTTTTTTGAAATTTTATTATTTTTATTTTATGGTATGAGTATATTGCCTGCATGTATGTGACTGCACCTGTGTCATGCAATGCCAGCAGAAGTCAGAAGAGGGCCCCCTGGAACTGGAGTTAAGGACAGTTCTTAGCCGCCATGTGGGTGCTGGGAATTGAACCCAGGTCCTCTGCAAGAGCAATCAGTGCTCTTAACTGCTGAGCCATCTCTCCAGCACCAAGCATTAATATTTTTTAAAACTACACACCCTTGTCCGGGTGTGGTGGCTCTTGCCTTTAATCCCAGCACTCAGGAGGCAGAGGCAGGTGGATCTCTATGAGTTCAAGGCCAGCCTGGTCTACACAGTGAGTTCCAGGACAGCTGGGGCTACAGGGAGACCCTGTCTCAAAAAGACCAAACAAACAAACAAACAAAAACAAACAAACAAAAAACTACATACATACCCTGAGCATTCTCTGTCAAATATTCTGACCATCCTAAAACTTTAATTTTGAGAGACAGTTTCTAAATCCCTAAGTCCTGATCTGTGGTTTACTAAACACATTTATGGGTCACATGACAATCAGATTGTGTTATCACCTATTTGCCAGGAGAGTGATACATCATTGACAGATAACTGGGCCTACAAGCAGAAATACTAATTACAAAAGGGTTGGGGAGAATCAAACTAAAAATTATTTGCAAGCAAGTCACAATTCTAGGCTGGGAGTGTAGCTCAGCACTACAGCATGTGCTTTTAAAACACAGGCCAATTAGATCCCCAACACAACAAAAGGGAAAAAAAGTAACAATCATAATTTTGTCCTTTCTCTTTTGGGGAGAAAGGCACTGGGCATGGGGACAGGAGGAGATTTAGGGGCAGAGTCCTAGCTAGAAGGGAAGTCCATAGGGGAAGTAGCTTGACTCTAGTTGAGCTGTCAAAGGAAACTGTTTCTACTCCCTGTTGTCAGAGCATAACTAGAAGCAAGGCAAGTTTTACCAAGCAGAGGAAGAGGTGACTAAGTACTGGATGACAGAGAGGATGTGTCCTCAGCAAAGAGGGATTTGTTTGAGAAGGCAGTGGCTCATTAGTCCCCAGAGAGCCAAGCCCACTGCTCCTATGTACAATGAAATGTCTGGCAGAGCTGTTGATAGCTCATATACTTAGTTAGCAACCACTTAGTATGTGTTTGCTCTGTGCCAGACCTTGTATTCCATGTGGTGGATTCAGATAAGCAAGAGACATGGCCTGTTTCCTGGAACAAATCCTATCAAGGGGAAACTGACAAATATACTAGTATGTCACCATCTACTGCATAAAATGGTGATGCATACATGTAGATGGTACCAGCAATATTCTGAAAGTCAGGAGACCTACTACGGTTCCTATTTCTGGTGACATCAGGAAGATTGTGAAAAAGAACCCGATCAAAAACATCTGCCTATTGTGATGTCTTTCTCAGCCCTTATAAAGATATTATAAAAACTCTTGTTTTAAAAAATGCAGTGTCACTGTTTTCCTATCACGCCATGAATTCCTTCTATTTTGCCCAATGAGTTTGTTCCTGAAGGAGGAAGCACGTATTCATGGGCCTGGGAAGCTCTAGGGACATCAGATAACACATGAGGGGATCCGAAGGGTGAAGACATGTGAAGAGGAAAAGGACACAACTTTGTCTCTCTCTCCTCTCCCGCTCTCCTCCCTCCCTCCCCCTCCCCCCCTCTCTTACCCAGCAAATAAGAGGAAGAGGGAAGGGCAAGGGGTGGGGGCAGTATCTAGCTGGTGAGACTCCCACCATGTCGAGGTGAGCCCTCACCTGGCGTCCTCCTGGGACTGTCGGTTGCCCCGACAGGTGAATCCCCACCATGGCAAGGGAATCAGTCCAGGGACAAGTTGAGGGGAGCTAGCCCGTAGTAGGGAAGTCTTCGGGGAGATGAGGCTGTCCCCCGCTGGGGTGGGGGCTTGGAAGCTGCTGAAGGCGGGGATGGGCTGGCCCTGCTCTGGGATGGAAGTTAAAAACTCCCAGGGCTGGAACGTCGGGGTAGGAACAGTCGGGCGGGCAGGAGGTGGAGGAGATGCGGTCCGGGCAAAGGGCGGGGGTTCCCAGCACGGGGTCGAACGGCCCGGCAGGCAGGGCGTCGGGCTGAGGGGCAGGGGGGTAGCCCCACTTCCGCCAGGCCGGAGGCAGGGGCGGAGCTCCTGTCAGAAGCGAGGCTGGCTGGACTCACCTTGGCGGCGTCTGTCAGCTGCACCAACAGCAGCACGGAGAGCGCCAGGCCCGACAGGCCGAGCACCGAGCCCAGCCGCAGCAGGCCTCCGCGCCACAAGCTCGCCATCGCGGGAGCGCAGCCCCCACCCCAGCGCCGAGCCCCGCGCCCGGCTCGGGATCCGGCTCGGGATCCTCCGCCCGCACTTCCGCCTGGGCCTGCGCGTCACCGGCCGCGCCGGGTCAGCTGGAGAGAGCCTCCGCCCCGGAAACGGTTCCGCGAGCGCAGGGCCCAAGGTGCGCGACCCCGGCGCCCCGTGGGCCTCCAGCGGCCCGGAACTCGCGGGTGGCGGCCGGGGCCTCGTGGAGCTGCGGGCGCTCTGGGCGGCCCGGCTCTCAGGTGGATACCCTGAGCTGCTGGTCCCCTGGCTCGGGACGACCCCCGGGAGCAGGCCCACTGGGGGCTGCAGCCGCAGGCCGAGGGAGCCGGATCTCCGGGAACTGCCCGGGCTCTTCCGTTGGCCGAGCGGAGCCGAGCATCCCCAGATCGGAAGCGGGCATGTCGAGGGTTGGGGGGTCATCTGCGCTTTGGTACTCACCTGCCCCGCGTGCGCCTGGCCTACACAGCTCCCCGCCCGGCTTCCAGCTCCCGCTGTGCGCGGCCCGCGTGGGTGTGGCCTCCTCTAGGGGCTGACCGCCCGGGTGCTGCCCCAGCTAGGAAGTGGGCCTCAGCAGAGAGGCTGGGCTGGCCCTGGTCAGGCTCCGGAAGATGTGGAATTGGCTAAAGGCAACATCCTCCGCCCAGGATTCCTGGAGGTGGGGAATCGGGGCTCCGCTCCAGCGAAGCAGAGCCTATTTAAGCCAACTAAGTCAGAACGCCGAGAGCGCTAACCCGACTCCAGTGGGTGTCGTCGTCTGCAGGAATTTTAGGGCACCCTGGAGAGGACACGGTGCCTCCCATTAAAACCCTTTTTTTTTTCTTTCACGTAGTGGAGACCCAGGCGGGTAGTGGAAGTATGGATACAGCGCGCTCCTCGCAACCTTTAGGGATTTGCTGAATGGCATTGGGGAATAACTTCCTTTCTCTGGGCCTCCTAGATGTTGGCTCAAAAAGAAGTGATTGAACGAGAATTTCAGAATTTGTTCCCATGATACCCATAATGTTTTTCCCCGCGAAACAAATATTAAAAGTGGTCTTTTCATAGTTGGTGAAAATGTTTTAACAAACGGGTAGAATCTTCTCAGTATTTTTCTGTCTTGTGATTCTTGATGCTAAGCTAGAACCTAACAAGGTGCTGTTGCATCGAATATATTTAGCTCTTTTTAGTGCCAAATGGCAAGTGACACCCAGCCAGAGCGAAATCAACAGGATACCTTCTCACCAGTTTCCTGTGAGAATTACAAGTCCAAGAGGGATTCTTCAGGGCAGAGGACTATCAGGAGATGCCCTGGGTCAAGTGTCTGGCTGAGACACTGTGAATCTGATTGCTAAACGCTGATTTAGTGGCAAATTTGGATCCGTTCATGGCTGTCTAGATCTCGCATCTATAGGGAATGCTCGCTGTTCAGCTGAAGCCTGGAAAACCTCTGCCTCCTTCAAAATTGTTTTCAGAGCCTTGGTGAGGGCAGAGAGGCCTAGAGGAACTACAGCAGAGCTTTAGTCTGCTGGGGTGTTTGTGACACGGCCTCAGTGTTGCTGGTATCAAACTTGTGGGTGTGGCCATGCCAGAAGAAGCACATCACTGAGGACAGGCTTAGAGAGTTCTTAAGCCTTGCCAAATCTCTAGTCATTCTCTTGTTTCCTATGCCTGCCTGAAGATGTGAGAGCTTAGCCTCTGCTCCTACTCCAGCCACCTCTGCAGCCGTGCCTCCCTGCCTTGATGGACTCGTGCCCCTTTGGAACTGTAAGCTAAATAAACGCTTTCTTTTATAAGTACCCTTGGTCATGGTGTTTCTATCACAGCAACAGAAAGTGATACATATGATAGCTTTATAGTTGTACTGTTTATATCTAGGACTTGTCTTGGTGTCCACTTTCCTCTGCCTGTTTTCCTTGTTTCTCTGTAGGTTTTTGTACTCCAGTTTTTTAATTTATGAGTGTTTTGCTTACGTGTATGTTCATCAGGTACCTGTGGAGGCCAGAAGAGGGCACTGAATTCCTTGGAACTGGAGTCATAATATCTTGGTCCTCTGCAAGAGCAGCCAGTGCTTTAACCGCTGAGCCATCTCTCCAGCCCTACTCCAACTCTTTTGCCATGCCTAGAGCTTTGCGCATATGCCAGGCAAGTTACCACCAAGCTCCATCCTTAGCCCCTACTCCATTCCTCTTGAGTAACAGTTCTAGGTGTATCCTAGGTCCAAAACAGTTTCCTTGTGGGGTTATGTTTAGAAAAGAAAGAGCCTGCCGGGTGTGGTGGTGCACGCCTCCCAGGCAGGTGGATCTCTTGAGTTCAAGGCCAGCCTTGTCTACACAGAGTTACAAGTCAGCTAGGGTTTCAAGAAGACCCTATCTCCAAAAGAACAAAAAAAGAAAAGAGACTTCTCTAAATTTAAAGAAGTTGGGGTTAGGAAGCGTGACTGTATATTTGGAGCTAATGTATCTAGGACCAAGGCTTTGCCATTTGTCTGCTGTCCCCATAATTTATCCCCTCTGATAAATTACTTCTTTGTATGCCCCCCTTTAAAATTGTGTGTGTGTGTGTTTGTGTGTGTCTGCATATGAACATCATTCATGCGCAGGTCAGAGGACAACTTGGAGGAGTTGATTCTATCCCACGCTGTGAGTCCCAGAGATCAAACTCAGGCCATCAGGCCTGGCAATAGGTACCTTTACCTGCTGAGCCATCTCACTGGCCCCCTGCCTCTTATTCCTCTACCTCATCCTCTCTGACCTACCCAGCACCTGCCAGGCCACACCAGTTCAAAACAAGAGTCATGCGCAGCATTAATGATGAATACTTTCCTCGAATTGTGCCTGCAGTGGTTATGGCAAGAGACATACAAGTCTTCCTCTGTTTCCTACATGTTCTGAAAACACCCTAAAGGAGCTGTCTACTTTATCATGTGCACCTGCCAATATGGCCTGTTTCATCCCCCTTCGTGAGATTTTCTGCTCTCTAATGCCTGTAAAGCCACATAAATGTGCCTTACCATGCTATCACTGGCTAGGGCCCACTATAGTATCAGCAGTCTATGGACCCAGAACATCATCTGTGTTCTAGAGCTGCTGCTACCACTGTAGCTGCTGTTACTGGGTTCCTAAAATTGCAAGTTTGGTACCAGAGTAGGGAGACAGTTTTTAGTTTCAGAGAGTTCAATAACTCTTATGATAGTTATGAGAACAGTCCCTCTTCTTTGTCCACTAATATTTTCAGATTAAATACTACATTAATCATTGCAATGGCACTCTGTCCTCCTGGAATGACTTGGCCATTATCATGTTGAAATCAGAGCAGCTGTTGGTGATCACCTGCTCCAGGGTGATGGGAGGGTCATCAGACCTCACCTCAAGAGCTCTGGGCTGGAGAGATGGCTCAGAGGTTAAAGGTGCTGACTGCTCTTGCAGAGGACCTGGGTTTGATCCCCAGCACCCACATGGTGACTAACAACCATTCACAACTCCAGTTCCAGGGGATCTGACATTGTCTTCCACCTCAAAGTCCGATCATACACTCCTGTCCCTTCCCCGCTGCCAGCTGCACACAATTCTGCCTCAGCTGCATGTAGTTTGGGGGCAGCATTACAGAAAAAAAAAAAAAAAAAAAAAAAATAGGTGGTGGTTGACTAGGATTGAAATTCCAGTGACACAGCTTTCAGGAGTCATCACTCATGCTGGGGTGAGATGCCTGAACAAGGAAAGGTGCCTAAATTTACTGTCTATCTTTCCTTTAAAATTTTTTATAACTTTATTGCAATTCTGCAAATGATGATTATGTGTATGTGACACAAATGGTGTTATGATCTATGTATGCAGTGTGAATGGATCACATCAAGCTAATTATCCCATTACCTCAAATACACAAAAATACATTGTTTTTCATGGTGAGAACACTTGAAATTTATTCTTAGCAATTCTGAACTATATATCATTGTGTACAGTCACAATGCTTGCAATGTATGTCAAGAAACTTGTTCCTGTGGCCGAAGAGATGCTGCCTGCTCTTACAGAGGACCCAGGTTTGATTCCCAGCACCTTCATGGCTGCTAACAACTGTCCATAACTACAGTTCCAGGGGATCAGACACCTTCTGACCTCCACAGGCATCGCACAATAAGGGTTCACGTACATACATGCAGGCAATACACTCATACACACAGAATGGAAATAAAATATATTTTTAAAAAGAAACATGTTCCCATTTCATTGAAACTGTGACTTTTGATTAGCATCTCTTCATTCCTTCCATGTGGAGCCTCTGGTAATCAGCAATCTACTCTCTGATTCTATGAATGTGATTGCTTTAGATTCTACATGTAGGTAGGATTATATAGTATTTGTACCTATCATACTTAACATAAGTCTTTTAGGGCAGCACTTTCTTGTCCAGCACACTTCCCTTTAAACCACATCCTCTTATTTGTAGGGCATAATTTCTCTGCGGATGTTCTCCCCCCCCCCCCTTTTTTTTTTTTGTCTTTTTGAGACAGGGTCTCCCTGTAGCCCCAGCTGTCCTGGAACTCACTATATAGACCAGGCTGGCCTTGAACTCACAGAGTTCTGCCTCCTGAGTGCTGGGATTAAAGGCGTGTGCCACCACGCCCGGCTGTTTTCTTAGTTGTCTATGTTCGGTATTTCAGTCTTTGTTTTTGTCTTTTGTGTTTGAAGCTTTTCTTAAATGACTAGAAATGTTTGGGTGTTCAGTCTTTTCTAAGAAGGAAGCATTACAAAGTCAGCAGATCTGGAGATAACAGCTAGAGTTCAGGAACAAAATGCTTGCCTCCTATGCACAAGCCTGAGTGTGATCCCCAGCACTACAAAATTAGAGGATACAGTGCAGCATTTTTATTTTGGGGGGTGAGAATTGAAACAGTCTCACTCTGTAGCTCTGGCTGACTTGGAATTCACTATATAAACCAGGCTGAACACATTGTGGCGATTCTCATGCCTCTGCCTGCTCAGTATAGGGTTTATAGTCCTGGAGCCCAGCAACTATTTATATTTTTATTTATTATTTTATGTGTATGAGTGTATTGCCTGCATGTATGTGAGTGCACCCGTGCCATGCAATGCTGCGGAGGTCAGAAGAGGGCTTTGGATTTCCCTGGAACAGGAGTTAAGGATGGTTCAGAGCCGCCATGTGGCAGGTCCTGACTGCAAGAGCAGTCAGTGCTCTTAACTGTTGAACCATCTCTCCAGCCCCCTCAGCTACTATTTAAAAAATGCACTCCTGGTATATGAAAATAAAATAATCAGCTACAACCAAATGACAGACAGAAAATAGTGTATCTGAATATATCATACTCGAAAGGGTAATTATTTTGTGATACTTTGGCCTTTTAGTTGAGAGAGAGAGAGAGAGAGAGAGAAATACCTAAATACATATGAATGATTCCATAAAATGAGACTTTCTTGCTGTGGGTGTTTTTCAAAGAAAAATTCTAAAGTACCTTGTATGTTGATCAAGAAATCTCCAGATGCCGGGATGGAAAGATGACTCGGAGGTTAAGGGGACTGACTGCTCTTGCAGAGGACCTGGGTTTGGTTCTCAGCATTGTAATCCCATTTGGCAGCTAACAATCACCTATAATTCCAGTTCTAGGAGATTCAATAAACTCTTCTGACCTCTGCAAGCACTGCATGCACAGGTGTACTTACATACATATAGTCAAAACACTCATGCACATAAAATATAAATAAAATTAAAAAAAAGAAATCTTGGGGGCTGGAGAGATGGCTCAGTGGTTAAGAACACTGGTTGTTCTTGCAGAAGACCCAGGTTTGAATCCCAGCACCTACATGACAGCTAACAACTGTCCGTAACTCCAGTTCCAGGGGATCCTACAGCCTCTCTGTCCTCTGCGGGCATTGCACAACACGGGTGCACTTACCTACACGTAGGCAATACACGCATACACATAAAATAAAAATAATAAATATGAAAAAAAAATCTCCAAATGTTAGAAGTATTTTCTCTAGAAAAGAGAGGTACGTTTCTCCGGGGGAAAGTTCTCAAAACTTCTGGTAGCCAGTATGCATCCAAGTATTTGTTAAGCACTTCAGTGTCGAACACTGTCCTGAGTACTAGAGTACAACAGTGAACAAACAGACAAAACTGTATGTGGCAGGTATGGTAGTAAATTACACAGTATTTAAGTGTTGGACTGAAATAACAGTGACCAGGGAAAAGGAATGGATGAGTACAGGTGCTGCTGAGGGGGATGTGGTAGTGTGGCACTGCTGGTTGATTCAACCACAGACTGTCCTTGTATATGAAGATTTGATGACTACCAAAGTACTGTACATGTATTATCTCATTTCACATTGTGAGTTCAGTACTATTGCTTCTGTTTTACAGACTACAAAGCCAAGCTCAATGAGGCTCACAAATTTATCCAAATCTGTAATAGAGGACTGAAGGACTAGCAGCAGTTGAGGAACTGAAAACCATAAAGCCACATGTCTAGAAGGCCACAAAATTGAAATGATGCAATTAGATTGGGCCTGGGCTCCTCCACCTTCCAGGTTGGAACCCTGACAGACAGACTGTGAGGCAAGCACACAGAGGGGAAAATTTCACTTTATTGTTACATCAGTGTCACACATTAACCCAATACAGCCAGAAACAGAGCAGATAAAAGTGCCAATGCAGAGAGGCCTGACCACAGAAGAAGGGAGGAATCCCGTTCATCTCCTCCATGTCCCTGGCCTGAAATGGTATTTCTACTATACAGAGTAAGAGCAGCTGGAATACCAGGTAATCCAGTCTATAAATGCTCTCAGCTAAGAATTAGAAAAATCTAGTAGTAAGGTGTGCAAAGCGAGAAAATAGAGAAGTCAGAACATATTCACTCTTGAAATTAGGCACAGAAATCAAAAGAATAAAAATATTTTTCAAACTTCCTGTATGTGAGATGGACATCTAATAAGGAATAAGGCAGGTCTGGTACTACTCCCTCCTGACTCACCTCAGAATTATGATGTGGTAGATACTTTCTCCCACAGCCTTAGATATGCTAGAATTTTCTGATTCTAGGAAGAACAAATTTACCTTCTGACTTTTCTAACCCCCAAAAGTAGAGCCAATGTTCCCTGTGAACATTAGAGATACAGAAGTTGTAAGAGTAATCAACTTGGCAGCATTGAAAAACTCAATGAACCTTGACTTTCTATAATTATCTTTAGGCATTTTTAGGTGTCTTTATCATGCCTGGGCTTAAAATTATTTGGTTAAAGAATTTAAGTGATTTGAATGTGCTGAGTGAATTATGACATGTGGAGTCCAGTTCACCCTAGTTGTTTCTATTCCCAAATTAGAAAATCCCTGATTTTCAGATGTAAGGAACACTAAAGGCCACCTAATTATCCCTATGCTATACAGTGCTAAACTCAAAAGGCCAGAATCAGTTCCATCTTTCTGGAACTTGAGACTTCCTGGTCTCACTGGGTCCACAGAAAATCCAAATAAGGGTAAAATAGAAGGAACCTGTAACATGCCTCCCTTGTAGCCAAGAATCAAGGCTTGGGGTAGAACTTTCAAGTAGGAAAATAAGGGGTGACATCTTTCAATTCTGTCCTAAGATAAGAAGCAGGCCAATGTGATGCTGTGGTAAGTAGGGGAGGAGTGCAGGGAGGCCTGAGTGGAAAGGAGCATGTACCTCCCAGGTAAGGCAACGGGACTAGCTGATGGGCAGGCTGAAAGCTGACGGTTCTGGGATCACCCTTGCTGATCTTCAGATGTAGCTACCCTACCATGGCTGAGCTGACAGGAAATGAGCCTAGGGAATGCCCCGCTGACAACTGACTGCCTAGTTGTACCAATGGGGGTCACCAAAATTCCTGATCTTTAGGGAGTTTTTCTAAGGTTAAAAACATTCAGGCTTCTGAAGAGTCATTTGCTGGGGACAGTGATTGAAAACTGGATAAGCGAGTTGGTGGTACCTGATAAGGTTCAGAGTTTGAACCTCAAGAACTACTGCTATGAACCAAGGGTAGACTTAGGAATATCTTGAGGGATACTCACAGTTGGTTCTTTTTCTGACTTACCCAAATACTTCTATGACTAAACTGAAGGAGAGATTCCATTATAGATAACTCTATGTCTAAGCTGACACTCTGGAGGTGGAGAGCTTAGAAAAACACACACACACACACACCCCCAAAAACCCCTGTAATTTCCTCAATCCACTTAGAAGGGTCAGGAAATACTGGGCACTTATTAAAGTTGTTCTTACTTCTTTCCTTGAACTGAGGGGTAGCCCAACTCCAACTCCCTGCCTGGAGGTTTCACTCCCTATTTCCATCCCAGGAAGGTTTTCCTAGGTAGGCCTCCCACTGACTGAGTGTACTTAGTTTCCTCCCTTTATTCTGGTCCTAGTTTGTGGGGGTCCCTCCCCCCCATTTCCTTTCCCTATTTGAATCTGTTAGACATGTACAAGATAGACAGAAATTCTGACTGGACCACAGGGTAACCAGTGTCTCATAATGGCAGATAATCAATGGTATCTCATAGATTAATATCCCTATTTGTGGTTTCTTTTTCCTCCTGTTTAAGTTCACAGTAAAAGACTGTCTCATCATTGTACCCTGTTTTTTGTTTCTCTTATTTTTTTGGTGTGGTGTTTGTCTATGATAATGTGTATGTACGTATGTGTGACTATATGTGTAGTCATGTACCTGTGCCAGAGAAGCATGTCGGCTGTTCTTTATCACCATCACTCTCCATTTTGTTCCTCTGAAGCAGGGTCTCTCACTGAACCTGGAGCTCTCTTATTTTTGCTTATGCTGGCAGCTAGAAAGTCCCAGTGATCCTCCTGTCTCCACTCCCTCAATCTGGAGTTACAGGTGTACATGGGACCATGACCAGCTTTTACATGGGTGCTGAGATCCAAACACAGCAAGTGCTCTTAACTGCCAAGCCACCTCTTTCTCTAGTGCTGGCGGTTGAATCCAGGGCCTTGTGCATGTTAGAGAAGTACTCTACTACTAAGCCACATCCTTTACCCATCCTTTTTTGCACTCTTACCTCTTAAGGGTTAGAAACATGAAGTAGCACAAGAGCCTTGGCTTCAAAGTCAGGTTTGAATTCTGAGTCCTTTCTACCACTGACTTATGTGAGTTTACACATTTCACTTGCCTATCTGCATGTTTAAAGGAAGATTTGGACTAGATGACCTCTCTGGGCTTTTCAAATCAATTCATACTGGAGAAATCAATGACTTCATTAGAAGAGATTCTGACTTCAAGACTTAAATTTCTATACCTCTTTAAAACAGTTGAAAGGAAGTAAACGATTCCTATTTATTGTACATTTAACTATCAAAAAAGAAGCAAGTGTTATTTCTAGAGAAATAGAACCTGGCAGCTCCTACGCTAGATTAATTAAAGCAAATTCTTGGAAGAAGCAGAGAAATAGGCCTCAAATAAGATCTGGCAGTGTCAAAAAGGATCTATAAATTAAATGTTCAAAGGAGTAAAAAACAATGGCTACAACCAGACAAGATCTCTAAGCACAGACTATAGTCTAGAAAGGTCTGAGTGGGAAGGAGCCCCTACAGATGCACTGGAGGGAAGGACTTGGTCCACAGCAAGTTGTTACTGCATTTGATTCAAACCCAGTTCTCAGTCTGTCAGCCTGGTGTGTGTGCACACATGCAGGCTTGCTGCAGGCTATAGTTATGCTTCTGAAGTGCTGAAATGAGAAAGAAATGTCAGAACTGAAAGCAAACTCAAAGGAGCTGAACTGAAGGCAAATATAACTCACAAAGATCTGCCTGTCTCTGCCTTACAAGTGCTAGAATTAAAGACATGGGCCACCATGTCTGGCACACACGTTCTTAAAAAGTGGATCATTTCTCCCACCATTCTGTGTGCTGTCATCACTGTTTATTCTAACGTGTAAACTACAGTTTTGTGGGACAATGAACTCTGGTTGTAGGGGAAGGGCAAGCTTCTAGTCTGACTGAAAGCTAAAGGCAGGATATAACCCTGCTGAGAACCCCACCAACTCATAACAGATGGATTTGACTTCACTGACCAATTTTAGTACTCACTTGTCTTCATTCAAAGAAACTGTCTCCACAAAAGGGACTTCTTCTTTATCTGTCTTCCCCATGATCAACCGGTGCTTATCCAAGTTTATGATACACTAAAACAAAGGAGGTTCTCTAGTGACTTGTCAGTGATCCTACTCTGAGTTCCCCATGTAAGAGGATCCCTGCCTCTGAGAGGAAATAGCAGGAAAAATGGAGCCAGTCCTACCTTCAGAGATCGAAGAGTCTGGAGACCAAGAGACAAGTTTTTCTCACTATCATCTAATAAAAACAACAAAAATAAGATTCAGTCATTACCATGTTGGCTTAGAAGTTAGCCCAACCATCATTAGGTTCATTCATCCTGTCTATCCATCCACCCAACCAGCCAACCACTCAGTTAAACAGCCAATAAACATCTGATGGACATCTGTTATTGAATAATTTTTCTCAAATCTTTATAGTTAAAAGAGGATAAGAGACAGAAACCCAAGAGTTTCTTACTCCAAAGGACAGAGGCCTTTGGTTTTAAAACTCAGGCATTTAGAATAGTCTAAAGTGGAATGCACAAAGAGAAGTATATAAGGAGAGGAAATGAGGCACTTACGGCAAAGGAGTAAGAGGATCTTGCCTTCACCATTAACTAGTTCGTGGAAAGCACTCGGGACATTTTCACTTGCACATAAAAAGTATGTTTTGGAGCGGGTGAGATGATCAGTGGGTTAGGACACTTGCTGCCTGATGACCTGAGTTTAATCCCTGGAATCCACAAGGTGGGAGAAAACTGACTCCTGAAAGTTGTTCTCTGACCTCCACACAAGCTTCCTCACAGAAACACAACACCCCCATCAACAAAAAAAATAAATGTAAAAAAGAGGCTCTTTTAAAAAATACTTTATTATTTTTATGGGTATAAGTATATTGCATGCATGTAGTGCACCCATGTTCATGCAATGCCCGAGATCAGAAGAGTGTGTCAGATCCCCTAGAATGGGAGTTATGAATGGTTGTTAGCTGCCATGTGTGTGCTGGGAACAGAACCCAGGTCCTCGGCAAGAGCAGACAGTGCTCTTAACCATTGAGCCATCTCTCCAGTCCCAAAAAGACAGTTTCTTGTGGCTTAGATGCACAATGGAATTTTTTCAGACATAAAGAATGAAGATATGTCATTTGTAGGAAAATGGATGCAACTGGAGATAATCATTGTAAGTAAATTAAGTCAGTCTCAGAAAGACATATACTGCGTATTTACTCTTTTTTGTGTGTCTTAGATTTCATAGAGATACATAAAATCAAGTACAGACAACATGGAAGTTGTGGTCTAGGGGAAAAAAGGGAACTAATGGGATGAGGAAAAGTGAGAAGGGGAGGGATACACTCAAAGTACGTTTATATACTTGCATGAAAATGGCCTTTTATAATCTGGTATATTATTATTTTTTTCTTTTTTATTATTAAAAATATTTAAGTTACATTTATTTGTTTAGGTGGGAAGAGATACACCTGTGCCATGGAGCACATGTGGAAGTCAAAGGACAACTTATATGAAAGTTGGTTCCTACCTTCTACTATGTGGGTGCTAGGGATTGAACTCAGGTTGTCAGGCTTAATGGTAAGCACTTTAACCTACTGGGCAATCTTTCTGGACCAGTACATTTTTTTAAATTAAGAACTATTTTCTTGACAGGTGTGGTGGTACATGCACTTGGGAGGTAGATCTCTGTGATTCAAGGTCAGCCTGGTCTGTATGGTGAGTTCCAGGCCAGCCAGGGCTACATGATGAGACCTTGTCTCAAAAAAACAACACTAAAAAAGATTTCTTAATCCATGAATTGTTTTATTTGAATTCCAAATTCCTTTTTGTGATTGATTCTGAGTATGCCTTAATGTAGCTTAAGACCCATTTAAGACTGTGAAGGGCAAAATTAGGACAAAGTATATAAATCATAGGGAAATGGGAACCTTGGATTTTGAAGCCAGTATTATAGGCATAAGACCTCCTGAGAGTTTATGTTAAAGTCTAGATCCAGTCCCCAACATAACTCACCAACCACAGCTGCTGGGCAATCCAGGCGGAGAGAGCCCACCGTAATCACTAGGTGCTCAATATGGCCTACTACTTTGAGATGCCGGGGCAGAGAAAGCTTTTCTCCTTCATGCTTATGAGATCTGACATGGTCCTTCAGTCTGTACCAGAGAGGAAGATATCAAAATCTCATTGGCAAAGGTTTCTGACCCATACTTGGTATTCTCTAGGAATTCCCTGGGGTTCACTCTTTATTTAAAAAGCCATCCTGTTCTTGTTTCAAAACTTTGTACTAAACATATCAGGGAGATAAAAAAGAAAAACAAAATATAATGGTTTTCCTATTTTTTTTTTTAACAGGGTCTCCCTATAGCCCCAGCTGGCCTGGAACTCACTATGTCATAAGTCTCAGAGAGATTTTCCTGCCTCTGCCTCCCAAGTGCTGGGAGTAAAGGTGTGAGCCACCATGCTTGGCATTGTTTCCTATTTTTAAGAAACTTATGTCATGGGCTGGAGAGATGGCTCAGCAGTTAAGTGCACTGACTGCTCTTGCAGAGGACCTGGGTTCAGTTCCCAGCACCCACATGGTGACTGTGAACTGTCCTTAACTCCAGTTCCAGGGTATTCGAAGCCCTCTTCTGACCTCCACAGCATTGCAAGACACGGGTGTACTCCCTTAGATGTAGGCAATACACTCATACACATAAAATAAAAATAATAAAAAAAATACTTTTTTTAAAAAAAGAAACGTCATTACCTGCATTTTTGAAATGGGATTTGACACATTCAGAGAATTCTACTCTGCAGCCTAATATCCCCACGTGTGTTAATTATCCTGTCTTTTTACCCATCTGTGGGTAGCAGATATCAGAGGGTAGGTTAATCCTAATTTTAGAAGAGTCTTCTTTCAGTGTCCAATTTTTGCCTCCTTTTTACTTCAATTTATTCTCATCAGATTGTCTTAGGGTAGGTTAGTGAGGACAAGCACTTATTTGGTAAGTACATTGATATTGGTATCGGTGAGGAATATTACAGAAAAAGTCTCATTACTTTGACTTGCCTTGGCGGAAGGGAGGATAGCACCAAGGTTTCACACAATTATATAAGCTGATTGGAATAGCTAGCACCCAACCTATTATGGGTTGGTGGATTAAATACTTAATTATGGACTTTCTGTGCCAATAGTTCTGTTCTCCTCCATTTCTCCTCTTTTGGTGTTCCAGCCCATCCAAAAGAAAACTAATTACAGTTTTACAGATGGTTATTAATTCCTCTGGAATCATGGCAGTCTGCTGCCTAATTATGCACCAGGACACTGTTAGTATTTCTAGAACCATCATATTGTAGCTCATCTCTTCACCACATTAAAAGATTCAAGATACTTCTCACATGAGTCCTGGAATCCCCCTTACCCCACCCTAAATAGCAATGTACAAAATCCACAGAGCCAACTTTAGAGTCATAATAGCTGTGAGGATGAGAACAAGGCTGACACAGAAGGAAAAGATCATGTAATGTGGTCATTGATGTTCCAAATGAAGCCCTGTGTAAATCCACTTGAGAATGTGCATGTCTTGGATGATTTTCAAAACAGGCCATTTTGTCTAGCTCAATGACTGTTTCATTGCAGAGATCTGGTCTGGGATATGATTTATAATTGTACATAGGGCAAAGATATGGAAAATGATGTTGAGTTGATCCCATGGATTCCAGACTGGATACCTCAGGGACCACCTGGTACTTTGGAAGAAAGAATAGGAAGCAGGAAATAAACAACTGAGTGAACAGCAAGTAAGACACAGAATGGCTTTCTCTGGCCAAAAGAGGGAGAACCCAGTTCCAGCTATTGAAGAACTGAAGACACTTGATATACAGTAATATACCTCACATTCAAACTCCATCAGGGCAACAATAGACTCTGAGTTTATATTTCTTTGAAATATATAAAAAATATTTTTTAGTGCCTTTTCGAAATAAGAAAAGGCACTAGAAAACTCCCCAGTTAATCACCCCTACAATGGCCCAAGCCCAAAAGCAGTATTGTCAGTTCTGCCTAGTATTTCTTGAGGCTGGGCAATGTAGACCAACCATATCCTTGCTTCTACACATCAGGAGTACAACAGGACAGTCATTTCTAATTTACTGTCTGGTGGATCAGAAGAGCATACACTGAGCCAAGAGTCTCATACTCTCTTATTCTAGAGTCTAGAGATCTGCTCAAAATTTAGTAAGTGGGAATTAACAGAAAACTCAAGGTTTCCTGGATTTTCCTAGTCTGATAAACTGTCACTGTTACTTCTACTAAGGACTTTGGTTCCAGTCTAGAGTAAAACTGTATGTTTCTCTGTGCTTTTGTGGATATACTCAAGTATCTCTAACCTTAAATGAGTTTCAAGCAAAGAGTATAGTTACCAAAAAAGAAAAAAAGGGGGTAGTTACATCTGACTTCCACCCAACACAAGTGGCTACTTACCCCAATCTGTCCACACAGGCTGAGGAGATGAGATTATATTGACAGCCTGTGTCAACCAAGGCTTTTACATCCTTTCCAGCACACTGTGGAAAGGAAACATACTGTTCAGTAAGAACCAGAGAGGCAAAAGGGATGACAGAGAATAAGCAGCAGATGTCAAACGAAAGGCAAGGGTAGAGAGCAAGCTCCCAGTTGGTTGGTACTATCCCATCTTAGCTAGTGCTAATTTGCCTTTATTGGCTCTTTTTTCCCCTGCTAAATCGAAGGCTGGCAGAGTACCCAAAAGGACCTTGGGTATTTATATGTTCTTTCTCTCTCTCTCTGTCCTTTTTGAGACAGGGTCTCCCTATAACCCCAGTTGGCCTGGACTTACTATGTAGACCAGGCTGGCCTCAGATTCAGAGATCTGCCTGCCTCTGCCTCCCAAGTACTGGGATTAAAGGCATGGAACACCACACCCAGCCTATACATAATCTTTTTTTAAAAAAATCATGATAGGGACCAAACCCTAGCTAGGTAAATGTTCTACCTCTGAGCTATATCCCATTTTTTTAACTATCATATACAGCTGGGTGTGATGGTACACACCTTTAATCCCATCACTTGGGAGGCAGAGGCAAGGGGATCTCTGTTAGATGCCAACCTGGTCTACATAGTGAGTTCCAGGCCAGTGGAGGCTACAGGGAGACCCTGTCTTTTTTTTTAAAAAATCAATAAATAAAATAAAAAAGCTAGAGAGTGGTTAAGAGCACTGGCTTCTCTTCCAAAGGACCAGAGTTTGGTTCCTAATACCCATGTCAGGTGGCTTACAACCTCCTGTAACTCCAGCTCCAGGGAATCTGACACCCTCTTCTGGCCTCCTTGAACACTTGAACACACATGGAATACACAAGTACATATAAACATAAATAAAAATGGTTAAAAAAAAATCACAGCCAGGCATGGTGCACATGCCTTTAATCCCAGCACTCAGGAGGCAAAGGCATGTGGATCTCTGTGAGTGAGGCCAGCCTGGTCTACATAGAGAGTTCTAGGTCAGCTAGGGCTACAGGGAGACCCTGCTTCAAAAAGACCAAAAAAAAAAAAAAAAATCACATACCCCTTTATAAATCTGATAAAAAGCCTTAGTCCTGTCCTTCCTTTAGAGATGCACGCATGTATAATATATTGTATATATTGCCAGTATATACAACTTCAAATTTCATTAATTCTATGATAATAGTCACTGTTATAAATTTTGGAGGACAGGGACTACTACTGAGATCATAAAGGCCCTAAACCCTACTTTTCAGAAAACTCTAGAAAGGCTTTTCTCTGAACATTACCTGGCAAGGCACCAAAATCATGTCATCATCTTCAGACTTCTTTAGCCCTTCAGACTTAGCCTGATTGAGTTTGTTGCTCTTGGATCCCCAAGGGACACGACTGTTTCGGAGCTTCGACAGGTTGGTTTCCATGAGGCGCCTCTGCAGAATGTTATGAGGTTGCTTGAGGGATAGAAAGCAGAGGCTTCTTTACTGCCATGCCACCTCCTCCTCTCCCATTGTCCCCCAGAAACAATGAAGGAGCCCCACATAACTGCTCCAATTTTGCTTCTTATCCTTCCTGGGCAGGGGTGGGGGGTGATGTCACTAGTATTGTCAGGGCAGTATAATAGATAACCCTGAATGAATGAAAGAGCAAAATAGGCCACTGAGAAATGGGGATAGGGCCAGAGACTATGGCTGAAGAGAACTGAAAGACCCTGGTGATGTGGACTTCTTCCCCGTACAGGGGCAATTTAGGAAAAATCAGCTTTACTCTGGAATAAGTGATCTCTATTTCCCAGACAACTGTAAGGCAGTGTCTTACAGAAAGGACAGCTCATTTTCATGGGTAGTCAGAGCTCTGCTTATTTCTATGGTAGGTGTCATCCCCTTACAGTCTTACTTTTACATTTATTCTGCAGGTGTCTTGTGGATCTGGCTCTTCTGCAGGTGGACATACCAACAAGGTAGATGGAATGGGAAGATAGGATTTCACTGTTGAGTAAGCCTCTTTACTTATTTATTCTTATTTGATGTATATGATTGTTTTCCCTGCATGTATATGAGTATATCATGTGTGTAATGCCCATGGAGGCCAGAAGAGGACATTCGATCCCCTGGAACTTGAAAGAACTTATGGACTATTGTTAGCTGCCATATGGGTTCTGGGAACTGAATCCAGGTCCTCTGCAAGAACAGCCAGTACTCTTAACCACAGAGATATCTCTCCATCCCCTGAGAAAGCCTCTTTTGTCTGGGGGGGATCCTTGAGACAGGGTCTCCCAGTAGCCCCAGCTGGCCTCAAACTTGCTATGTAGACCACGCTGGTCTCAATCTCATAAAACTCTACCTGCCTCTGTATCCCAAGTGCTGGGACTAAAGGTGTACACCACCACACCCAGCTTCTGAGTAAGCCTCTTAGCAGAAATACTTTGGAACTGGGAAGAACCCACAGGAATCTTCCTCACTGCTAGCCTCTAGGCTTCAGATCACCAACAAGGTAGATGGAATCCACTTTTCTTCTCTTCTTTCTCTCCCATATATCCTCCTGTACTGCTGGGGACTGAACCCAGGACATACTAGGCCAATACTCTACCACTAAACTACAACCTGAGCTTCTCCCTCTCTTTAATGAACAAGAAACTGAGGGCCTAAGAGGGGCAGGCACTGACCGAGAAGAGAACTTAATAACTTTATATATGTGCCAGGATTATTCCCGATGTTAGGAAACAGAATGATAAAATGTTTTTTTCAAATCTGAACTTTGGCAAAACTTAGGAGTTTCTAGGGCAGATATATTCATGTTCTTCTGTTCCTATTCAAAGTGGCCTCCAGAAAATTTAAAACAACTCTCTCTTTTTTAAAGTTAACACATTTCTTGAAAATAAAGTCATTTGACTTGAGAAATTTCTATACTAAGTATCTTATGCCCACTTTACAATAACATTTAAAAATTCTCAAAAGATAGGGCTTAACCTCAATGTCTAATGAATGCTACATTTGTCCTCTGAGTCAAGGGGCAAGGAGTTGCTCTTAAAAGTCTAAATCTATGAGAGCACAGGCTGCTCTTGCAGAGAACCTGGGTTCAGTTCCCAGTACCCACATGGCGGCTAACAACCATCCATAACTCCATTTCCATTTCTGATTTCCATAGGCATTGCATGATATGGGTACACTTACATACATGCAGGCAATACATTCATAAAATAAAAAATAATAAAATATTTTTGAAAAAATATAAATCCAGGGGGCTAGAAAGATGGCTCAGTGGTTAAGAACACTGGCTGTTCTTGCAGAAGACCTGGGTTTGAATCCCAGCACCTACATGGCAGCTAACAACTGTCTACAACTCCAGTTCCAGGGGATTCAAAGGCGTCTTCTGTCCTCCACGGGCATTGCAGGACATGGGTGCACTTACCTACATGCAATACATACATACACATTAAAAAAAAAAAAATCTAAACCCAGAATGTTCTTGGGGAAGGAGACAGCATAGGAGATCCTTATTATGTGTCACCTTACAGATTATCTAAGGAACAAGGGAGTCAGAGCTGTGACTCACTGTAAGCAAAGTGAGGCAAAGGAACTGATTCCCAAAATACACTGATTTTTGGCAAAGCAGGTTCTAAATTAGTGTCCTTGGGAAAAGAGGAAAAGCACTTCCATAGGAAAAAAAGTTTCTCAGTTTGATAAGAGTTGTTAGAGGAAGTGCTAACTGTCGAATTTTGTGATGCAATACCAAAAGAACACTTTGTTTTCAACAGAAGGAAATTTTCATTCTAATATCTCTCACAAATAAGCCTGGATTCCTAGCTCAAGCCACACTAAAGTAGTGTGGTCATTTGAATGAAAATGTCCCCCATGGGCTCCAAATATTTGGACATTTTGTCCCTAGTTGTTGACATTACTTTGGGAGGTCTTAGAAGGTATCACTGGGGGCAGGCTTAGAGACTTCTTAAACCTTGCTGGATCTCCAGTTGCTCTCTTGCTTCCTGTGCCTGCTTGAAGATGTAGAGCCTAGCTTCTGCTCCTCTTCCAGCCACCTCTGCCACCATGCCTCCCCACCAGGATGGACTCTTGTCCCTTTTGGAACTGTAAGCCCAAATAAACTCTTCCTTCTATCAACTGCTTTGGTCAGTGTTTCTATCACAGCAACAGAAAAGTGACTAATACAAGTAGGGCGATGATTTCTGTCAAGTCCATATTTGGCAGGACCAACTCAGACAAACTGGATTTGCAGAAGGGGCTTTGAAGGTTATTTGATCAGCCAGGCACAGTGGTACATGCTTTTAGTCCCAATACTCAAGAGACAGAGGCAGACAGAAATCTGAATTCAAGGTCAGCCTGGTCTACAGAGTGAATTCCTGGCTAGCTAGGGCTATATAGTGATATCCTGTCTTTAAAAAAAGTCATAGCTGGGCTGGAAAGATGGCTCAGCAGTTAAGAACACTGACTGTTCTTACAAAAGACCCAGGTTCAAATCCCAACACCCATGTGGCAGCTAATAACTGTCCACAACTCCAGTTCCAGGGGATCCAACAGCCTCTTCTGTCCTCCATGGGCATTGCATGACATGGGTGCACTTGCCATACAGGCATAACACTCATACACATAAAATAAAAATAATAAATATTTTTTTAAAAAGTCATAGCCAGGCATGGTGGCATACACACCTTCAATCCCAGCACTCTCCATGATACTTAAGTGGAGGTCAGAGGAGTCAGTTTTTCCCCCTTTTTTTTCCAGGGGATCAAGATCAGATCTTCAAGCTTTTAGGGTAAGCACTTTACCTGCTGAGCCATGTTGCCAGCCCACGTTCAGGGAGGCAGAGGTAGGCAGATTTCTGTGAGTTCCAGACCAGCCTGTCTACATAAAGCTCCAGGCCAGCTGGGGCTGCAGGGAGGCCCTGTCTCAAAAAGACCAAATAAATAAATTAATTAATAAAATAAGTACAATAAATAAAAAATTTTAAGTCATTTACTCAAAAGTCTCTCACCTACAGCTTTCTCCTTCTGTCCCACTGAATACAATAGTATTTGGCTACTCTTAATCTTGCAGAGCCTGAGACAAATGAAGAATGTTCTAAAATCATTATCTTCTGTATTTTCCCTCTTTCTCCTGGAGCCTTCCTCTATAAACTAAAAACATACTCAAAATTCCTAGATATGCGGGAGAAAAAAAACCACACAACACTCCCAATAGTCTAGTAGATAATTTTTAGCATTATTTTTACTCGATTTCTTCAGTGCACTTAGCCCTACTGATTTTTCCTTTCTTCCTTTTGTTATTGAATAAAAATAGTTCAAATACACGGCCAATGTAAAATATGAAAACATCACTAAAGTATATAAAATTGGGGCTGGAGAAATGGCTCAGTGGTTAAGAGCACTGACTGCTCTTGCAGAGGACCCGGGTTCAATTCCCAGCAATCGCATGGTGGCTACGAACTATCCTTGACTCCGGTTCCCGGGGAATCCGAAGCCCTCATCTGACCTCCGTAGCACTGCATGACATGGGTGCACTTATATACATGCAGGCAATACACTCATACACATAAAATAAAAATAATAAATAAAATATTTAAAAAAATAATAGACAAGAACTGTTTAAAATAAATAAATAATAAAGGTGAAAGCCTTTCCATTAGAGTTAGAAACATATTCAAAGAAGCATTTCCAAAAAAAACACACAAAAAACCACCTTTGCAAACATATATTAAAAATAGGATGATATAGGATGAAAATAGGCTGGAGAGACAGCTCAGTGGGTAAGTGTACTTGCTGCTTTTGCAGAGAACCTGGATTGGGTTCCCAGCATCCACATGACAGCTAACAACTATCCATAACTCCAGTTCCAGGGGATCCAACACTTGTTCTGGCCTCTGCGGGCACAGCATGCACGAATGTACTGACATATATGCAGGTAATATACATAAAGTAAAAAATAAATAGGATGATGCTATAACACTATGACAAATTTTCTATTTTCATTTAATATATGAAATACATATTTCTGGGCTGGGGTTATGTAGCTCAGTTAGTAGGGTGCTTGCCTGGCATGAAAATTGTTTGATTCCAACCATGTGTGATGGTTCATATAGGAAGATCAGAAGTTCACGATCATTTTTGGCTACGTGGTGAGTTCAAAACAAGTCTATGATACATGAGACCATCTAAAAAAAATTAGAAGGTATTTTTTTATGTCAGTATATATATTTTTATTCACTTTCATACTTCTAAAAATATTCCTAATACAAAATTTATAGCCAACTCACCCATATGCAACTGGAATTTTTGAAAATCATTTTATTATACCTACATGTTTTATTTATTATTTTTATTTTATGTGTATGAGTGTATTGCCTGCATGTAGTAAGTGCATCTGTGTCATGCATCACCTGTGGAGGACAGACGAGGCTGTCGGATCCCCTGGAAATGGAGTTACGGACAGTTGTTAGCTAA